ATATATGAATAACATGAAATAATAAATGCCAGTGGGAGCCAAAGAATAAGAATTGATAGAGAGTGTCCAGTGAACAAAATGAGTGCATTTTCATTGCAGGCTAATTTATGCACCAAGGCATAGTCACAGACATAACTGTTAATAACCACAGATTTACAATATGAAAGTGTTGTTAAAGGGACAACTGCAATGAGTAGAAAACTACTGACAATGAGCCAGAAAGAGGCAATCAAAGAAAACATGAACCTGTGGGTCACCATTACTTGATAGTGCAGAGGGAAACTGATGGCTATCAGTCTGTCATAGGCAAGTGCAGTCAGATTAAGAGGCTCCATTGAAAGGCAGGCGTAACAGAAAAACATGAATGTAAAACAGTCATTGTAGGGAATGTAGGGATGGTCAAACTGAAAGATGTCAAATACTTTTGGCACCACAGCAGAGCTACCAAACAGGTCTGCAAATGCTAAATTAAACACGATCGAGGTCAAGAAACCAACCAAGGAACGAGGATGAAGGACAACCAGGCTGACGTCAGATTATTTGCATGACTCTCATCATAAATTCTCTGTGCAGAGGAACCTCGTGGTTCCGCCTTCCTGCAGCAGCTTGCACTGACTTCTCTGTGATAGGGCTTCAGAAAGGGACGGAATCCAGAGCTCTGTATTGCTTTTCCTTGAATATTTTGCCTTAAATATTGATTGTAATAAATATCTCAAAAGACAGATTTGTCTTTGACCATTCTTCATAAAAGAACATGCAAGGACCGGTTTTGTCCAAACAGAGCCAAAGAATAAGAACTGATAGAGAGTGTCCAGTGAACAAAATGAGTGCATTTTCATTGCAGGCTAATTTATGCACCAAGGCATAGTCACAGACATATCTATTAATAACCACAGATTTACAATATGAAAGTGTTGTTAAAGGGACAACTGCAATGAGTAGAAAACTACTGACAATGAGCCAGAAAGAGGCAATCAAAGAAAACATGAACCTGTGGGTCACCATTACTTGATAGTGCAGAGGGAAACTGATGGCTATCAGTCCATCATAGGCAAGTGCAGCCAGGTTAAAAGGCTCCATTGCAAAGCAGGTGTAGCAGAAAAACAAGAATGTAAAACAGTCATTGTAGGGAATGTTGTGATGGTCAAACTGAAAGATGTCAAATACTTTTGGCACCAAAGCAGAGTTACCAAACAGGTCTGCAAATGCTAAATTAAACACTGCAATATATTTTGGAGTTCTTAGCTTATGATCTAAGCATATTATCACCATCACAGCTGTGTTTCCCAGCACTGAAACAATGTAAACAAAAAAGAGAAAGACATAATAATACTTCGGGGCAGTTAGGAAATGCATTTCCCTGTACAATGAAATTCTTACTTTGCCATCCATATGAATGCCACACAACACAAGTGAAATATAAGGTAGATGAGCAAAAACAAATCTAAATATACTGTATAATAAAGGATGACAGTTAAATGATGGAAACTGTTGTAACCAAACTTCCCACAGACGGTATCTAGTGTTTAGTTCCATAAAATGAGCTGCACTGTCATTGTGAGATGGTATAAATGCAGGTAGTTGTGTCACATGATCATGAAATAGGTTGTGATATAATTCACTCTGCAACTCTTTCATAGATTATGTCATCAGTGTTTTGATGCATATGACTTTGTGGACTGTTGTCACAAAGACACCAAATTATTCATTAATGGCACAGTGTAGAAAAAGGACAAAATTACAATAAATAGTAGCAATTATAAAGCATAATTCATGATTTATGAAAGAGTAACACTATTATAGGGACAAGAGCTTAATACAGAAATCATACATTTTGAGTTTTTCCAGACAAAAATAGAAGAATCAAGCCCAGGAGTTTCATCAGTCTTTACCCAGAATCAAATGCCAACAAGAGGAAATTATCCTTCAGATTTAATATCTGATGGCAAGCTGTTCTATAGCTTGGGGCCTGCAATTGCAGGCCTGTAAGCTTTAGCCTAGATCTTGGTACCTCCAACAATAACTGGTTAGAAAACCTCAGAGATCTTCCTGCAAAGCAGGGATGTAACAACTCAGTAAGGTAACGGAGTATTATACCATTTAAAGATTTAAAAACAAACCTCAACTTAAAATCATTTCTAAAACAAACCAGGAGCCAGTGAAGTGATAATGGGTGCTATATGATCAGGTTTACATGCGTTTGATAAAACATGAGCAACAGCATTCTGGACCAAATGAAGACAGCAAAGTGACGACTGAGGAACTCCTCCATACTATGCATTACAGTAATCTAATCCAGAACTGATAAAAGCATGAATTACTTTTTCAAAGTCATTAAAAGAAAGGAAAGGCTTCCCATTTTGAAGTAGTATTATGATAGTTTAACAGAAAGGGTGATTTATTGAGTCTTTTATTCTAATTTGAATTGATTCACCCATATTTTATAAGTAAAGTTGAAGTTTTTACTATTAACATCTTACTTGCTAGTAAGATGTTAATAGTAAAAAGTTACAAAATACATGTATTATATTAACATTTCTGATGTGTCAATACAACAGTGACAAACAGGTCACTTTTTGGAAAGGTTTATGCTGCTAATCCCATTTTTCTTGCAAATTTTCTTAATAGAGTTCAGCACTTCTTCTGTCTTTAGGGAGTATATAAGAGGATTAAGCAAAGGTGGTATAGTGTGTATCAAAGTATAGTTTATGATCCTGGCATTTGGATGGATGTAGGAGGTCAGAGCAGCTATGTTGGTGCTAAGATTGGGTAGGAAAAAAATTGCCACAAGAATTAAGTGAGAAGTACAAGTTTTAAAAGCTTTGACTCGTTCCTTTCCTGATGCAATCCTGCTCAGTGCTATGGCAATGCAAATATATGTCAGTGCTATTAATGCAGGAGGAAAACACAACATTACAGTAAAGATAAAAACTCCCATTTTGTAATTTACAGAGGTGTCATTACATGCCAGACGAAATGTTGGCCCATGATCACAGTAAAAGCTCTGTATCACCACAGATCCACAAAAAGAAAGACGATCAATTAGCCCAACCATGCATGTTATTAGACTCAACAAAAAAAACCACACAAACAGCAGCATTGCAACAATAGCTGGTTTAGTCACAATACTATGATACCTTAAAGGGAAGCAAATGGCTATAAATCTGTCATATGCCATAACCACAAGTGTCCATGACTGCAGACCTACACAGAACACAGCAAAGAACATGTAACTTAAACAAGCCTCATAGACAATGTATCTGTTGTCAAACAAAAATGTGTCCAAGAGCTTTGGGATGAGAGCAGTGCTCCCACACAAATCTGTCAAAGCCAGGTTGAACACAATCATGTATTTAGGAGTATGAAGAGTGTTGACCAGGTAAATCACTGAGAGGAGGAGGCCATTCCCAAGAACAGTCATGATATAGACAAAACACAGGAAGATATAGAAATATTTAAACTCAATAAAAAAACCCATACAAACAGCAGCACTGCAGCAATATCTGGTTTAGTCACAATACTGATACCTTAAAAGGAAGCAATTTGCTATAAATCTGTCAAACGCCATAGTGATGAGTGTCCATGACTGCACAAATATAAAACACCAAACAAAGAACATATTAGTCAAGCAAGCCTCATAGACAATGTATCTGTTGTCAAACAAAAATGTGTCCAAGACTTTTGGTCTGAGAGCAGTGCTCCCACACAAATCTGTCAACGCCAGGTTGAAAACAGTCATGTATTTAGGAGTATGAAGAGTCTTGTCCAGGTAAATCACCAAGAGGAGGAGGCCATTCCCAAGAACAGTCATGATATAGACAAAACACGGGAAGATATAGAAATATTTAACATGAGGGACGTTGGTAAACCCACTTAGATAGAATTTTGCAGGGCGAACAAAAGTGGCATTAGACATGGTAGCAGATTTATGTTCTGGATTCATTCAACTGTTTCCCTGGATTGAAAAGAAAAAAAATGATTAAATATTTAATGAAGAATGGTCAAAGGTCAAAGTGTTCATTTGTCATATGCACAGTTAGGAAACGTGTTTCCCTGTACAATGAAATTCTTACTTTGGTGTCCACATGAATGCCACACAATACAAGTGAAATATAAAGTAGATGAGCAATAACACATCTAAATAGACAGTAACACAAGTCTAAGGCACTTTAAAGCAGCAAGTGAAAGAAGCACAATAAAAATACAACAAGAACACAATATAATGTAAAGAGAATATATGCTATGTGGGAGGATGAAGTGCAAATATTCAGCAGTAAGTGTGAAACTATGCATGTGCAAACTGAGTATGTAAACAGTACAGGTGGAATTACATGAGGTACAGGGACAGACTCTACTACAGGACAGGTTTCATCACACAGACTGGAGTGTGTTTGCCTCCTGGGCTACCTGTGACTCTCACATGGACACTGACATCTACACTTCCTCTGCACTGGACTTTATTAACACTACCATTGACAGTGTCACAGCCCAGAAACAGATCACCACATACCTAAATCAGAAGCCGTGGATGAACAAGGAGGTGTGGCTCCTGTTGAAGGCACACAACTCTGCCTTGAGATCTGGCCTACAGCTTATCCAGGGCCAACCTGAGGAGGGGCATCAAGCAGACCAAGCACCACTACAAGCTAAAGGTTGAGGAACACTTCACAAACTCTTAACCCCGATGTATGTGGAAGGGCATCCAGGTCATCAGTGGCAATTCCACCGCAACAACCACAGACATCTCCTTCCTCAACAAGCTAAATGACTGTTATGCTTGCTTCAACTGTGACAAGGAGACAGCTATCAAGTCCAGACCCTCTGCAGACCACAAGCCACTCACACTCACCTCCACTGATGTGTATGCTGCTCTGAGCCAGATCAACGTATGCAAGGCTGCTGGCCCTGATGGCTCCTGGACACGTGCGCAGTGCATGTGCAGGACAGCTTGCTGGCATCTTTATGCACATTTTTAACCTGTCCCTCGCCCAAGTAGTTGTGCTTCAAAACCACCTCCATTGTGCCAGTGTCAGAACATCCCACTCTGTTGTGCCTGAATGACTACCACCCTGTAGCACTTACACCCATCGTCATGAAGTGCTTTGAGCAGGTGCTCAAAGCACTTCCTGGCACACCTGATGACCTGTCTCCCACCCACACTGGACCCACAGCAATTTGCCTACTGCAGGAATAGGAGCATGGAGAATGCAGTCTCCATAGCACTGCACTCTCACTCTGTACTCAGACACCTGGACAACAGCAACACTTATGCAAGAATGCTGTTGGTGGACTTCAGCTCAGCATTTAACATGGACATCCCCTCCAAGTTAACCACCAACGTTGGTGACCTGGGCATCAGCACCTCCCTCTGCAACTGGATTCTGGACTTTCTGATCAACAGGCCTCAGCATGTTAGGTCAGATGACACCTGCTATTCTCAGCACTGCCATACCACAGGGCTGTGTGCTGAGCTCATTCCTCTACTCCCTTTTCACCCACA